CTGAAAGACTTCGTAAAAATTTTGTAAAATCAATTTTTTTAGATTTTGAAAAATATTTCTTTAAATCCACGCCTTTTTTAGACTTGGGAAAAAATATATTTTTTAATCCATGCCTTCTTAAAACTTTGAAAATATATTTTTAAAAAATCCATCATAAAAAATTCATATTTTTTCAATGTGAAAACTGATTCTTGACATACTGTATTATGATGGTATTGGTCGCATTTTCTTATAGATGTGGATCATGGCATAATATGTTCATTATAGGTCAATCCATATAATTATCTTGACGCATATATATATATATATATATTATTGAAGGTACTAGCCGTATTAAATTTATCAAAGTATAAAAGCCTGCTAGCAGAAAATTTCTCGCTTCTACTTAGATATTTTGAAGCCCATATTTCCAACCCATATTTCTATAAGTCGAGGTGTAAAAAGACCTAGACTAATGCTGGGCAAACATGGGAACTGGTGCCCTTGCTTACATGTATCAATAAGCTCGTTCTCTGCGTTCTCTTTTTGTAAGACATTTCATATGGCGGTTTCTCCTTTACTCCCCTCTGTTATGCTACGTTAATCTCAAAACTATAGAAGGTCTGATAGACAAATTTTTCAAGAAATACCGCTACACATCGCTTCATTTTTTTTTAATTTCAAGAATAATTCCAAAATATACAGTAAAAGAGAATCAAATTGTTTTCGATTTTTTTATTTATTCATAATGATTGTTTTTCAATAAAAGTAAGGATACGGCAACGATGAAATTGGAGCATAATGATTAGTCGGTGGAGCACCATATATAGACGGTGGAGGCATATAAGCAGGACCAACGGGTGGAGCATAATAATTAGTCGGTGGAGCACCATATATAGCAGGTGGAGACATATAAGCAGAACCAACGGGTGGAGCATAATAATAAGGACTTGGATAATTGAAATATCTAGTTCCTGCACCAGCATTACCACTAACAGTAACACCACCAACGCTAGCACTACCGCCTGCACCTGCACCTCCAGTAGTACCGGCACCTCCAGTAGTACCGGCACCAGCACCTCCAGTAGTACCGGCACCAGCACCTCCAGTAGTACCGGCACCTGCACCTCCCGTAATACCGGCTCCTGCACCTCCCGTAGCACCGGCACCTCCAGTAGTACCGGCACCTGCACCTGCATTAGCACCTCCAGTAGTACCGGCACCTGCACCTGCATTAGCACCTCCAGTAGTACCGGCACCTGCACCTGCATTAGCACCTCCAGTAGTACCGGCACCTGCACCTCCAGTAGTACCGGCACCTGCACCTGCATTAGCACCACCAGTAGTACCGGCACCTGCACCTCCAGTAGCACCACCGGTACCAGTACCTCCAGTTCCAGTACCACCGGTACCAGTACCTCCAGCAGCACCACCGCTACCAGTACCTCCACCGATACCAGCATCCTTAATAGCCTGAGTTATTATCGGGAGAAGGTCCTTGAGAGTTTCCGACGGTGATTTTGTAGGAGCGGCAGTTGTTGTAGTTGGCGGCGGCGTTGTATAACCATATTTATTTTTATTCAAAAAATGTCCAAAGGTTCGATCATCCGTATCAGTGCCGTCAGTTATTGCAGTCGAAAAGACACAACTTGTGGTTAACAGAACCAAAGCGAACGTACACGGCAACCTTAGAAATGACATCTTTCTAGTTTAGTTAACAGTGACCGAATGAATTGTCCAAATTCGACATTTCCCTATTTATACAATAAATGGAGTTAACCAATCGTCTATAAACTAGTTCAAGCTGCAGGTAGATTAGTTCCATAGAAATGTTCTTTTGTGTTTAATTGATTTTTATGATGGTCTGCTATCACCCAAGATGTGATTTGAATATTTTTCGAATAAAGAGGAAAATGCATTGGAGGCTGGTACTAAAAAAATTGTTATTGGGGAAGGGTAAGAAGATACACACAAATTAAGAACAATTTGATGTCTTCTACAAAAGATTTTCCTGAGTGTGATTAGTGACGTTTGGTTTATGAATATTATTGAATGGTGATTGAAAGTCGACACCGTCATGTGAGCATGTATTGTAATTTTATACGTAAAATCGAACACACGTGTAACGAAAGGTCAAAAAACTTGTTAAATGCGATATGTGCGGAGAAATGTATTACGACTGTCATGATGCTCACTGTACGGCATAGAAGAGAAGATGTAACTGTGTTGTATGTTCTGTGACAATCCCAATCCTGATGCCAGAGGATATCTCTGAATTTATGTCATAAAGGATATAAAAATGAAGGAGAATCTCCAAATCGAATAATATAGAACCTCCAAACTTTATCAGTCTTAAGGTAGTCCATATTGATTCGTTTCAGAATTACATCCTTTCCATCAGATAAAGCGCTATATTTTATTTCTTAAAAAAATTGTTCATAAGTGTATCATTGACAATTATTGATTTTCACGTTAAGCTAACAACTAGCTTTTAGCCGAAAAAAATAGTCCTTTTTCCAATAGATATATAACATTTGCAATTTTGAACATATATAAAGCAAATTCGTTGAAAGAAAAACAGACCTCTGAAATACTCCACACCCTTTATATCACTTCTAGAAATTCAGTTTTTGGTCATATTTAAAGTGCCAATTAATTTTGTCGTCGTCGTACATTATTTATTTGGCAAGCGAAAACATGTTACCACCACATTTGGAATGTCATGACGATTGGAAAGGAGCACCAATTTGGGAATGCAAATCGGTAGTTGCTGCTCACTGTTAGTAAATGTACATACGAGTATGTACATTTAATTCATGCCGGTTTTATTTGTTATACTACTGTATAACAAATTAAATGAGGGAGCCTCCAGGTTTAGATCATACAGAAGTTGTGGACAGTGTCAGCTGGGTTAGAAGTTAACTCCGTCTGAAGGTCATGTTGGAATATATCGAGTCCGTTTTCTACAGCTGCGTTCGCCATAGATATTTAAATCGCCAAATCGGGTTCTTACTCCCATCTGATCCGCGCTCGTATCGCGGCAAAAGTCTTTTTCCAGTTCGTGGAAAAGTGGTGGAGAGGATTATGGTGACACGGTTTATGGAATGTTACAGCGAAGGCACGTCCTTGCATCAGTTCGGTTTTACCGAGGCTAGAGGTACCGTGTACGCGTGGCGGCATGTGAAAGATTACCTGAACGGGTCAAATTCCAAATATGTCCTTGGCATATTTGTGGATTTCAATGGCGCATTTGGCTTCCTTCAGAGGTCGAGTGTAGTGAGATTGCTCTTTGGGCGAGTTATTTCCGAGATGGGAAGGCTTGTTTCGTGGGAACCATTGCTTCGATCTTGAGGTATGTGCAGCCTGATTGCCCACAATGTTTCATTTGTGGTCCATGTATATGGAAACTAATGATGGATCATCTGTTGCGGGAGCTAGCTGCCCCCTTCAAGGTTTGTGCGTATGCAGATAACTTGTTCATCACAATTGAAGGGGAACTTGAAAATCATGGTGTGCAAACTATGCATATTATGCAGGCCTGGAGTGACCGAGTTGGAGGGGAGGTGGCAACCTAGAAGATGCTGCAGAAAGGTAGTTTGGCACACAGCCGTCCTTCCTTTATTCGAGCTGGTGAACGTGCATAAGATATTCGAGTATAGTTAAGTATCTCGGAATAACGGTGTCCGAGCTGTTGATCAGGCCTTCTGATCTGGTGGACGGGGATAGTAGGCGGTACAGCACTGGCTCACTTTCAGCAGCGTCAAATAACTCTTTACACATCTAAATTAAAAAAAAAATGTCAGGCCAAAGGTTATCATATGGTGTAATTCAGTTGATATATTACAATTATTGTGTTCGAATTGTCGAAAATGTTTTCAGTTATACGAAAGACAATTTACAATATATTAAATCGAGCAGCAAACGATGGAAGATTGGAGTTAAAGCAAGGAGGTGGCCTGAAACCCAAAAAAAAAAAGAAAAACACACAAAAAACCTTTACTGTCTGAAGCAAATATGTTTGGACAAGAGGTTTTCATTCGTCAATATGAAAGTTTCACACCCGGCCGAATATTCTTATATTTTGCTATGAAACCAAAAGTATGATTATAACGATGGGTCAACGGGAGTATGGCGCAAGCATTTAAAAGTACTAAAACGCAGAATATCATTTCATCACTCAAATTCGGAAAAAAATCTGTTTTTATAGAAAAGAAAACGATGGACGTATAACAATAGAGTTGTAATTTCTAGTTCTTTAAGAAACTATCATGAACGAACTAGTTCGTTCTGTTAATACAATAGTTCGTCGATACAGACATATTCGTGAAGGACGATTGAAAATCGGAACGAACTAGTTCAAAGGAACTATTCCGATCCAGAACGATCGGATCTTTAGTTCAGCTAGTTTATTTTGCTTCAGTCGTTCCTCTTGCTCAGTGTTCACCGAACTAACTGTCGTGTGCCATGAACGAGTGAACTAAAAGGAACTATGGAACTAAAAGAAATGACATTGTTTCTTTTGCGGATCAGGCAGAAAATGAATGTTCATATAATAAAAATTCACTTCTAAATTAAAAATTCATAATACGTTATTTTTATATATGTAATTGTTTCAATATATACATGTGTAAGAAATTTGTCGTTGCGTTAAATTTAGGTCAAGATATATAGGGTAAGATATATTGGTAAGATATATAGGGACTTTGGTACACCATTTACATTAAATCGGACGGAAATTTCCAAATTTCATCCAATTCAAATCATAAATGCGACCTGTACTTTGTTTACAATTTAACATGGTCAGACGGACGGACATGCATAAATCGACTCAGGAAGTGACTCTATGCATATTCTCAAAAGGGATCAGATGATAAAAGAGACCAGATTTTCAGATGCTAAAATACATAATGGCATAATATTTTCATTGTAGGTATATGTCTCCCCTTTTATGTATATTTAGTTCCTCGAAGGTTAAAGGCCACCTAGAAGGAAATACTCCTACTTAGATATTTTTAAAGCCTTAGCAGCATTTTCCAAGCTATATAAGGTTTCATAGACAATTTTTTAGGAAATACTGCTATTTTTTTTTAATTTCAATAATAATTCTATAATTTGTAGTAAAAGAGAATCAAATTGTTGTCGATTTTTTTATTTATTCATAATGATTGTTTTTCAATAAAAGTATGGATATGGCAACGATGAAATTGGAGCATAATGATTAGTCGGTGGAGCACCATATATAGAAGGTGGAGGCATATAAGCTGAACCAACGGGTGGAGCATAATGATTGGCAGGTGGAGACATATAAGCATGACCAACAGGTGGAGCATAATAATAAGGACTTGGATAATTGAAATATCTAGTACCTGCGCCAGTATTACCTCCAATAGTAATACCACCAATACTAGCACCTGCACCTGCTCCTCCAGTAGTACCAGTACCAGCACCTGCACCTCCAGTAATACCTGCACCACCAGTAGTACCGGCACCTGCACCACCAGTAGTACCGGCACCTGCACCACCAGTAATACCGGCACCTGCACCACCAGTAGTACCGGCACCTGCACCTCCAGTAGTACCGGCACCTGCACCTCCAGTAGTACCACCGGTACCTCCAGTAGTACCACCGGTACCTCCAGTAGTACCGGCACCTGCACCTCCAGTAGCACCACCGGTACCAGTACTTCCAGTTCCAGTGCCTCCACCGATACCAGCATCCTTAATAGCCTGAGTTATTAAAGGTAGAAGGTCCTTGAGAGTTTCCGACGGTGATTTTGTAGGAGCGGCAGTTGTTGTAGTTGGCGGCGGCGTTGTATTACCATATTTATTTTTATTAAAAAAATTTATAAAGGTTCGATCTTCCGCATCAGAGCCGTCAGTTATTACAATCGAAAAGACACAACTTGCGGTTAACAGAACCAAAGCGAACGTACACGACAACCTTGAAAATGACATCTTTCTAGTTTAGTTAACAGTGATCGAATGATTTTCCAAATTCGACATTTCCCTATTTATACAATAAAAGGAGTTAACCACTTGTCTATAAACTAGTTCAAGCTGCAGGTAGATTAGTTCCATAGAAATGTTCTTTTGTTTTTAATGTGATGTTTATGATGGTCTACTATCATCATAAACATCACTATGATATGATGTTATTTGAATATTTTTCGAATAAAAAGGAAAATGCATTGGAGGCTGGTACTATAAAAATTGTTATTGGGGAAAGGGTATGATATAGTGTGCATCTTCTTTTTTAATTTAATGTTTTATACAAAGAATCTCCATAAATGTGATTAGTGACGTTTGGTTTATGAATATTATTGAATGGCGATTCAATTTCGATACCGTGATGTGGGCATGCCTAGTAATTTTATGCATACAATCGAACGCACGTGTAACGAAAGGTCAAAAAACTTGTTAATTGTGACATGTGCGGAGAAATGTATTACGACTGTCATGATGCTAACTGAAGAGCATAGAAGAGAAGATGAAACTCTGTTGTATGTTCTGTGACAATCTCGATCGTGGTGCCAGGGGATATCTCTTAAATGATGTCATAAAGTATTCAGAAATTGAGGAGAATCTCCAAATCGAATATTGTAGAACTTCGAAATCTTTTCAGTCTTAAGGTTGTCCATTTTGATTCGTTTTAGAATTACATCCTTTCCATTTCATGAAAATTGTTCATAAGTGTATCATTGGCAATTATTGATTTTCAAAATGTACACAATGTTTAATATATATATATATATATATACTAGCCGAACCCGTGGGCTTCGCTGTCCCTACTAAAGTGATCGACATAGGATAGTTCACCTAAAAAACTTTTTTAATTTGGTTTAAAAGCTACTATCTTATGGCCAAACTTACTGCAACATGGAGTTGAAAATGGTTAAATATGTATTGATAGGCAATATATAAGTATTATAGTAAGCCCCAAATTCTAACATTCGTAGTATAATACAGTAGTTTTCGCTTAAAGGCCAAAAACGGATATAAGCGAAAAAAGTACTATTTACTGACATTTTTCTTCCAAATTCGTACAAATTATTTGTTCTATAGTCCACTTCGCCTATAGTCCATTTTCGTTTATAGGCCACATTTTCTGTGCATGCAAAACTAATATTGCATAGAAAAAATTTTCATATAAGCCACCCTGTTTTTTGAACTTGAATGACATTTGGATTTCTGGCACCTGTTTTTTGAAATTTTCATATAGGCCACCCAGTTTTTTGAACTTGAATGGCATTTGGATTTCTGGCAACATTTATAAATGTCAAAAATTGCTAGATTCATAGAAGTTGTGAAAATGGGTACGCGCGTTACATTGAGTGTGGAGAAAAAATTAAAATTATTGAAAGACTATGAAGAAAATAATATGAAATGTGGACAACTGAGTGCCAAGTATAGAGTAAACTCATTTTTTGAAAAAATAGAGTCGTTTGTTATAAGTTCCATAAAAAAGAAGCAAACTAAGATTACCGATTTTTTTTTAAAAAATAGTGAGCAATTCGATTTTTTTTTATTTAATCCCCCAAAGACTTAAAATGGATCTCATAATTTAATTTTTTCGTTACAATAAGCTTTCAAAGCATTTGAATTAAAAAAATAATAAGTTATTGTTTAAACAATTTATTTATTTTAAATAAATATATGAATTTGTTTTAATAAACTTAAATTTTATTTAGAAAAGTACATGTTTTGTGTATAGTTCATGACGTGTATTATATCACGATTCAGTTATAATCCAGTAATGGACTTAAAACGAAATTCGGATATAGTCCAAATTCGCTTATAGTCCACAAAAGTTGTGCAACTATAGTTGTGGACTATAAACGAAAACTACTGTATCAGTAATAATATCGTAGCAGCAGGTTATGGTATATTTGATTCGATTCAATAGATTAAAACAAAATCATATTTAAATAATCTTTGGCAAACAAATTTGGCTTGACGTGTCTTAATCAGTTGCAATAGTACCACACACAAAAATATTTTCTTCAATATTCTCACGTTGTTCATTAATCGTTCAAAAACTAATACAATCCTTCATTTCCACCAACCTTTATGCCATGTACAGACGAGCGTTGTTCGCTCTCTCATTCGTTGTTCGACCCTTAATTTTGAAGTAATTACTTAGTTCCCCATACAAAATTGTCTGAGCGAACACCGACTTTTGTACGTTGTTCAATTCGAATCACTCTCTGAATAACCAAGAAATTTGTCCCATCCCTAACAATTGAGAGTATTTATCGAAAATAAATTAATTTTGACAGCATGAACATATTTATAAGATTTTCAAACTTTTTCAGTAAAATTGAAATTGATGAATGAAAAGTAAAAAATTTTATAGTTTTTATATATGCAGCAGGATGTAAATTTTGTTTTCTACATAATGCAATATGCATTTCTTTTCCCTTGGTTATAATTAGCGTACAAAACAAGAAACAAATGTGGGGCAACTCAAACAAAAAATTCTCCAAATTTGTATATGTGACAGTATGTGACATTTGAATTGAGAAAATATAAAAATGTATTAAAAACAACAACTTTTTCAGAAAAAATAGAAAACATGAATGAAAAGTAAATAGATATGGGTTCATACTATAGTCAGGAGAAAAAGAATTATTTTTTCTATTTAGATCCCTATGTAATTCACTAAAATATGTTAAATTTTTGGTGTAAAACAAGAAACAAAAATTTTGAATTAAAAAACTCTGTTGACATGAATTATGAATAGTGTTGTATGAACGGGTTAATTCATGTTCGTAATTCTGAGAGCGAACTACGTTGTTCGGATGCCCGTCAGAACATGGCATTATATCTGCCATTATCTGTATTCTCAGCTGTGTCTCATATGTTTGGCATGCCTTTCTCTCTCTGAATAATATAGCATAGATCCCTGCTGTATAATCCTAGTTAAGTTTGAATTTTGTATCTTTAATTGTTTCATTGCCTAAAAAGGTTTTTAAAAGAATGCATTACGAACCTAAATGGATTATTGGTCTTAGCTGTAGATATCTTAGTATTTTTAAGAAACCTGGATCAAATTAGGTAGTCGCTTCATCTATACATCCTCGAAATAATAGTTTTAGCCATATCCGTTTGGTCAACTAAACTCAATTTCTGGTAATGGACACATTTTGTTTTCATGTCATCTAGGATGATAACCGACCACAGATTTCAGCTTTTTATAATTTTGAATCCACAATCCGCATTTCTATTTTAGATTTATCTCATATATTGTTGATGCATACTTTTATTGATTTCATAGTCATTTTCTCCTATAATGGTAGAATTATTGAAATTCGAAAAAGTTTCAAAATTTAAACGTTTGTTTTTTTTCACAAACTGACAAAATGTAAAATTCCACAATTTTTATTCCAATATGTGATGATAATGGAGAGATGAAAAACAGCAGACGTTAGTGGAACTGCTGAACTGGTGGTTATCATCATTACTGATAATATCATAATAGGAGCAAAAATTATGAGTCGAAAGTTCTTGATTTGGACCAATTTGTTTACTTTCTGGTCGTTTAAGATTGAATCTCTAATTATCTGAGTATATAACACACATTCATTAGCCGATTTATTCAAGATATTCAGATATATGCATAGAAAATGAATATTAGTTCAAAGGTATGGCAACTGTTGATGCTATCGACATCCCGAAATTTGGGAAGTTTATCTTACCTATCATACTTCAATGCGATGGCATGACTGACTGCGAAATTTTCTGTGCAGTCTGCTGAGCGATTTTTTGTCTATTTGATATGTAATATAATGGGGAGTACATTACCGCCATTCTACTACGCCAATTTTTATAGGGATGATGCGTATTTGTCGACATCGACATCCCGGAATTTTGGAAGTTTATGTTCTGTGCAGTCTGCTGAGCGATTTTTTGTCTATTTGATATGTAATGTAATGGGGAGTACATTACCGCAATTGTATCACGCCAATTTTTATAGGGATGATGCGGAAGGTAGTCAGAGAAATTTCGAAGTGGAAATCTGTAACCCTTTTTAAGATATAAGAATAGAATAGGTATGTTATTTAATATCTGTGATTACGTTTGATGCTATAAGCCCGCATCCACGCTGAATTTCAGAATTTTATCTAGCCTATGTTACTTCTATCGGATAGCATGAGGTACTGTAAAAATCTCAGTAAAATCTGTTTAGCGGGTTTTATTCTCTATTTGTGGATTATTTAAGTACAACGGGGAGTGCATTTATCTCTAATCGTACCGAGATCATTTTTAATGGATGATGTGTATATACGCCTTCGTTATACAGACAGACGGTATCTGTAACCGTTCTTAAGATATATCCATATTACATATTCAGAAATTTTGAGGTTTGTTCACTATTGATGATAAACTCTTCATCCACGCTGAATTTTTAATCTTTATCTAGCCTATGTTACTTACTTTCAGGGCATGTCATGATATACTGTAAATCTCATTAATATCTGTTCAGCGGTTTTTGCGTCTATCGGTAACATACAAGCAATGTTTTTTTCTATTATATGTATATATATATATACACCTAATTCTGTTTTTACACGATAGAATGGTTCCCGAGAAATTCGTGTAAAAAAAAAATCGTGTAAAAAAGATACTGGCCAAGTACAAAAATAATAGATTGGTTCTAGACCTCAAAAAATAAGTTAAAATTAGACTAAATAATATAAAAAAATATTGTTGAAGTTATTTTAAACTAAATTATAATAAAATAAATTAAAATTTAGATTTCATAAAAAAAATAATACCAGAAATTCATTGCCAAAAAACTTAAATAGCATAAAGTACAACCATAAGAAAAATTTAAACATTAAACAATTTTATATATTGTCACTGTCTGATAATAAACGTAAACGTTTGCGAAAGACTACAATATCACTGCCATCACTGGAATGATTTTGTTGATCATTATCATTTCTAGCCGACTGTGTTGGGACATCAGTAGATTTTTAAACGAAATCAGTTATCTTAGATTGAGTTTTATTTTGCGTTAACCCATTTTAAACTTCCCTGTAAGATGCCATTAATGATTTCAGTTCACGTTGAAATTTGGCAGCTCGTTCCTCGTCATGATCATGTTGTTCAAAATGACTACCTAATTTTGTAGCGAGATCAATACCTTCTTTAATTAGAGATGCTTTCAAAATTGGACGATCTCTTTCGTCACTGTCACTATGTTCTTTATCATAACGAGTCTCAAGGGTAAGATCTATAATTTCATTTTCGCTCAAGCTTTCATCTACCAACAATTCTTCTACATCTGCTAACGATAGGTCAATAATTTTTCAATAATTCGGGGAATCCCGCATTTCCCGTAAAACAGAAATTACGCATACATAGACATAACTCAGAACACACACCAGACTTATATAAAATGTTGCCATATCAGAAATTCATGCCATGCTGGGTTGTTACTCTAATTAAGGCAGGGATGTTTGAGCAAAAGCATTCCAGAATTTTCTTCAATAAATAAATAGTTCATGTAAAAAAGTAGTTTTGTTTTTTTTTTATTCGTGTTATTTCAAATTATGTCGTGTAAAAATAGAAATATTTTTTTCGTATTTACTCGTGTTATTTCAAATTCGTGTAAAAACAGAATTAGGTGTACTAAAAATAACCCAATCACGTTAAGCTAACAACTAGCTTTCAGCCGGGAAAAATAACCTTCTTTCTCAATAGATGAGTAGCATTTGCAATTATATTGAACATACAAATATTAAAGCAAAATCATTGAAAGAAAAACAGACTTCTTTAAAATCCCACACCCCTTCATAACGCTTCTAGAAATTCTGTTTTTGGTCATAATTAAAGTGACAATTAATTTTGTTAGTCGTCGTAGATTATTTATTTGGAAAGCGAAAAAATGTTGTCACCCCATTTGGAATGTCACGACGATTGGAAAAGAGTGCCATTTTTGGAAATGCAAATCGGCAGTTGCTGCTCGCTGTTAGTAAATGTACGTACGAGTATGTGTTTTTTTTTATCTTTTAATTCTTGCCGGTTTTATTTGTTATACTACTGTATAACAAATGAAATGAGGGAGCCTCCGTATTTAGATCGTAGAGAAGTTGTGGACAGTGTCGGCCGGTTTAGAAGTAGAAAATCGCTAGGTGAAGGAGAACTGGAAAATTATGGTGTGCAAGCTATGCAGATTATGCGGGCCTGGAGTGACCGAGTTAGAGTGGAGGTGGCAACCGAGAAGATGCTACAGAAAGCTAGATTGGCACACAGCCGTCCTCCCTTCATTCGAGCTGGTGAACGTGGCATAAGGTATTCGAGTAGAGTTAAGTATATCGGAATAACGGCGTCCGAGCGGTCGAATTTCCTCCCCCACTTCGATCGGTTGAATAAGAAGCTGACAACGGTTGTTGGGACCATCAAGCGTGTTTTGCTGACCGATTGGGACTGAAGTAGGCGTGCTGTGCGTGTCATATATGGTAGTTTATTCTTTGCCTGTGTACCTATATGATACAAAACTGCCTCATCTGTCTTAGGGCAGAAGAAACCTTTTTCGTGTCAGCTGGTCGTCATGTTAGCATGTGTCGCACTATTTCCACAGAGGAGTTGCAAGTGCTGCTTGGCGCCGTGCGCTTAATCTTGAGGTGATATGTAGGGCTGTCCAGTATAAGCTTAAGCGTGACTTGCAGTTGAATGAGGATGATTGGCTCAGGCTTTCTAATATGGTGGATAGGGATAGTGCCCTATCCTTCGGAAGTGTGTTGTTAATAGGTGGATGGACAGTGATAAAGAGAGCATGGCGTACGAATTTATTCTTAACGCATCGTTCGGTTTAAGTACGGAAAGTTCTTAGCACAAAAAGAACGTTATAAACAAAACATGTTAAGTGTTTTGGAAACTTCCATCCCTGTTATGACGACTTGTTAAATTTTGTTTCGATCTGGCAACTCCTTCATATAGAAAAATATCTTCATTAAAGACGCATCCTCAATTTTTTACAATGAAAGCACGCATTTCTAATTTTCTAAATTTTCCATTGTAAAAAATTGCGGATGCGTCTTTTTTGAACACCTCTATATTAAATAACTCTTTACACACATCTATATATATGATACTCTCCACCACAACCGACTATATGATACTCTCCTGGGTATATTGACCTCCCTCGAAGGAACATACACATGCCCTTCTGCAATCTATGCTAAATTACATTTCAGATTTAGAGCCGTTTGCGTAAGATGGGACAAATTTATGGAAATCGATTTAGAGCAAACTCGATGCATGCTATTCGGTATGCCGCACTGTTAAAAATTGAATCCTAATCAGGCACCCGTTCGAAATATACATGGAAGCTATGTCTGCAAGTGCAACAATTTCATCAAAATGCAACGTGTCAATCGGAGAAACATTAGAGGTTTGGTGAACCATGTACCTAATATCGGAACCGATTTTCACTAAACATAGCATACATCATTCTAGACTCAATTCAGTGCCAAATTTCGTGCAAATCGAAAAATATATAGGGACTTTGTTACACCATTTACATAAAATCGGACGAAAAAAATATATGGAGCTATATCTTAATCTGAACCGATTTTCTCCAATTTCAATAGGGTTCGTTATTGGGTCCAATAAATGAGCTGTACCCAATTTCATCTAAATCGGATCATAAATGCGAACTGTACTTTGTTTACAATTTAACATGGCAGACGAATGGATATGCATAAATCTACTCAAAAAGTGATTCTATGCATTTTCTCAACAGGGACCAGATTTTCAGATGCTAAAATACATCATTGCATAATCGTTTCATTATATATCTATGTGTCCATATAATGGTATTTCCCCTTTTATTTATTCCCCTATTATAGAAGGATAAAGGTCGAAGGATAAAGGCCACCTAGCAGGAAATACTCCTACTTAGATATTTTTAAGGCCTTAGCCGCATTTTCCAACCCATGTGACTTTAATGTTATGTTACGCAAACCGCTAAGCTATAGAAGGTCTTATAGAAAACATTTTGAAGAAAAACCCCTACACATCGCTTCATTATATGAAGAGTGATATTTTTTTAAATTTCAAGACTAATTCCAAAATCTGTAGTAAAAAAGAAACAAATTGTTTTCGATTTTTTTTATTTATTTATAATGATTGTTTTTCAATAAAAGTAAGGATATGGCAACGATGAAATTGGAGCATAATGATTAGTCGGTGGAGCACCATATATAGAAGGTGGAGGCATATAAGCTGAACCAACGGGTGGAGCATAATGATTAGCCGGTGGAGCACCATATATAGCAGGTGGAGACATGTAAGCAGGACCAACGGGTGGAGCATAATAATAAGGACTTGGATAATTGAAATATCTAGTACCTGCACTAGTATTAACATCAACTGTAATACCACCACCTGCACCTCCAGTAGTACCAGCACCTGCACCTCCAGTAGTACCAGTACCAGCACCTCCAGTAGTACCGGCACCTGCACCTCCAGTAGTACCAGCACCTGCACCTCCAGTAGTACCAGTACCAGCACCTCCAGTAGTACCGGCACCTGCACCTCCAGTAGTACCAGCACCTGCACCTCCAGTAGTACCAGTACCAGCACCTCCAGTAGTACCGGCACCTGCACCTCCAGTAGTACCAGCACCTGCACCTCCAGTAGTACCAGTACCAGCACCTCCAGTAGTACCGGCACCTGCACCTCCAGTAGTACCAGTACCAGCACCTGCACCTCCAGTAGTACCAGTACCAGCACCACCAGTAGTACCGGCACCTGCACCACCAGTAGTACCGGCACCTGCACCACCAGTAGTACCGGCACCAGCACCTCCAGTAGCACCACCGGTACCAGTGCCTCCAGTTCCAGTACCTCCGCTACCAGTACCTCCAGCAGCACCACCGCTACCAGTACCTCCACCGATACCAGCATCCTTAATAGCCTGAGTTATTATCGGTAGAAGGTCCTTGAGAGTTTCCGACGGTGATTTTGTAGGAGCGGCAGTTGTTGTAGTTGGCGGCGGCGTTGTATAACCATATTTATTTTTATGCAAAAAATGTACAAAGGTTCGATCATCCGTATCAGTACTGCCATATATTGCAGTCGAAAATACACAACTTGCGGTTAACAGAACCAAAGCGAACGTACACGGCAACCTTGGAAATGACATTTTTCTAGTTTAGTTAACAGTGACCGAATGATTTGTCCAAATTCGACATTTCCCTATTTATACAATAAATGGAGTTAACCAATCGTCTATAAACTAGTTCAAGCTGCAGGTAGATAGATAGTTCCATAGAAATGTTCTTTTGTTTTTAATGTGATTTTTATGATGGTCTGCTATCACCCAAGATGTGATTTGAATATTTTTCGAATAAAGAGGGAAATGCATTGGAGGCTGGTACTAAAAAAATTGTTATTAGGGAAGGGGTAAGAAGATGCACACATTAAGAACAATTTGATGTTGTATACAAAGAATCTCCCTAAATGTGATTAGTGACGTTTGGTTTATGAATATTATTGAATGGTGATTCAATGTCGATACCGTCATGTGGGCACGTGTAACGAAAGGTCAAAAAACTTGTTCATTGCGATATTGCGGAGAAATATATTACGACTGTCATGATGCTCGCTGCAAAGCATAGAAGAGAAAATGTAACTATGTTGTATGTTCTGTGACAATCCCGATCCTGGTGCCAGTGGATACCACTGACATTATGTCATAAAATATACAAACATGGATGAGAATCTCCAAATCGAATAATGTAGATCCTCGAAATTATATCAGTCTTAAGGTGATCCATTTTCATTTGTTTTAGAATTACAACCTTTCAATTTGGAAACTTACAAAGCGCCACAGTTGGTCCGAGTCTACTGGACGTTTTGCGCGTTGATACCATCAGCTCGGTCTTTTCGCCATTTACTGCCAGTCCCACGTTTGCAGACTCCTTCTCAATTTGTTCAAAGGTGTCTGTTACTGCTCGCAATGTTCGACCCATTATGTTCATGTCGTAGGCGAGTAACATATGCTACTTAGTTTATATCTCGTATGACCTTTCCCAGCAGGATGTAAACGACAAACTGTCACCTTGTCGGAATCCTGGTTTGGTATTGAAGGGCTCCAATAGGTCCTTTCCTACTTTAAAGTTATCCTGAATTAATTTCGCAGGAATGCCATCTGAACGGATAGGTTGAATGCGGCTTTATAGGTTGAATGCGGCTTTATAGACGATGAATATGTGGAATGCGTCGATGTGTTTTTCGTGGGTTTTTGCCAGGATCTGGCGCAGAATGATAATCTGATCAATGATCGATTTGCCAGGCTTGAAGCCGCATTGGTATGGTCCAATAAAGTCATTGGCCATTATCTTCAATCGTTCACTCAGCAAACATTGAATATGCGATGGGAAGGAGACTTATTCCTCTATAGTTGGCACATATCGTCTTGTCTCCTTTTTTGTGCACGGGGCTCAGGATGCTGAGGTTGCAATCATTCGGCATGCATTCCTCTAACAAAAGTGCATGCTTCTGACCAGCATCTGGCCACCGGTCTTGAATAGTTCTGCTTGTAAACCATGGACATACTTCGGAAAAAAAATTTTCAGCTTAGAAAAAAATTCGGGATCATTTTTTCGCCTATAAACAAAATTGGGAAAACTGGCAAAATATGGAAAAACTTTTTTCTTCTATAGAAAATTTTTTTTCGTCTATAAAAACATTGGAAAATAGTTTTTTAATCGACTGTAGCGCAAAAATTAGGAAATTTCTTTTCGTCTACACAAAAAATGTTATTTCGTCTATGGAAAAATATTCCGTCTACAGAAAAAAAATTAAATTTTTTCGACTATAGAATTTGTTTTTCCGGCTATAGAAAAAAAGTCAGAAAAGCAATTTTTTCGGTCTATAGATTCGGAAAGCAATATTTTTCGTCTTTAGAAAAAAGATTGAAAACATATTTTTCGTCACGAAATTTTTTTCGTGTATAAAAAAAAATTCAGAAAAACAATTTTTTTTGTCTATAGATAAAAATTCGGGATCATTTTTTGTCTATAGAAAATTATTCGGAAATATTTTTTTGTCGATAGAAAAAAATTAGGAGACATTTTTTTGTCTATAGAAAAAAATTCGGAAACATTTTTTTCAGCTTAGAAAAAAAAATACATTTTTCGTCCATAGAAAAAATTTGGAAAGCAATTTTGTGTCTATAGAAAAAAAGATTGAAAACATATTTTTCGTCAAGAAATTTTTTTCGTGTATAGAAAAAAATTCAGAAAAACAATTTTTTTTGTCTATAGACAAAAATTCGGAAACATTGTTTTTTTTTCTATAGAAAAATATTCGGAAACATTTTTTTTTGTCGATAGAAAAAAATTAGGAAAGCAATTTTTTTAGTCTATAGAAAAAAATTCGGAAACATTTTTTTCAGCTTAGAAAAAAAAAAACATTTTTCGTCTATAGAAAAAATTTGGAAAACAATTTTTTCGTCTATAGAAAAAAATTCGGAAAGCATTTTTTCGTCTTTAGATAAAAAGATTGAAAACATATTTTTCGTCACGAAATTTTTTTCGTATATAGAAAAAAATTCAGAAAAACAATTTTTTTGTTTCGCAAACATTTTTTTGTTCTGTCTCTAGAAAAATATTCGGAATAGAAAAAATTCGGAAAGCATTTTTTTCGTCTTTAGAAAAAAAGATTGAAAACATATTTTTCGTCACGAAATTTTTTTCGTATATAGAAAAAAATTCAGAAAAATATTTTTTTGTTTCGTTTTCGTTTTTTTTTTCTGTCTCTAGAAGTTTTAGTCTATAGATAAAAAAACTCGGAGAGCTCTTTTTTTGTCTGCAGGAAAAAATAGGGAAAGGAACTTTTTTCGTCTATAGAAAAAATTCGGAAAGCAATTTTTTCCGAATGTAGCGAAAAATTCGCAAAAATTTTTGTTCGTCTAGAAAAAAAAAATTAGAAAATAGTTTTTTCGTCTATAGAAAAAATCGGAGACATGTTATTACGAGTGTATAACCACCATAATTTGTTCAAAACCCCTTACATTGCTGAACATTTTTTTCTGAGCGTAATTCCCACCTTCGCTAAAAATTTAACTAATTAAAAATAACTCAATTTCAATACACAAATGTTTTCAGTAACATAAATTAATTATCAGTTATACCTTGAAAAACAATTAAGTAAATTCAAAAACGAAAAAGAGTTTTACATTTGTTTTCATTCAGACAGAAACCAAATTTGTAATCAATATTTTTTTCTACCACTTCTTCTTCTTCTCCGTTAATTGTTATTTTTTCTTTTGTGTGTATATTTTACTGGTGTATGTTATTGTTTGCAATTCGTTTGAAATATTTCATAATGGCAACAAATGTGAAACGAAAAACAACCAACCAAAATATCGAATTGAAGTAATAAACTACATTTTTATAGAAGTAGATACGTAAGTAAGGCAATGAATGCTGCAACAATAAAACAAATCGAAAACAAAATTAGGTCAAATACCGAATTGAATATTCCATTATGAATTACATAGCCAAACAAGAGCAGCACAACGAATTTGAGACAATTAATAATTTCATCGATTCGGACATCGATGGCAGCTCAGACAGATCATGTGGTACATCAAAAACATTGATGTAGCATGATTGTATGATCTGTCTATGATCGTCTGGATGGATGGGGATGTCTCTATGAAAATTCCGTTCATTGTGACAATCTTGTTGTATGACTCGTTTTTTGTAATTGCTTTTTTAAAAAATAACATTGTTGCTGTTGAACTTTTCTTGTTTTGTTTATGGTTCTTCAATTAAAAGTTATTAATTGGCTCTCAATGAAGTTATTGTATACAAAACATTGAGATATTTAATAAAATATACAACATTTTTAAGTAAAATGTAAATAGACGCGACAGCGAAGTCTTTGTACATTGGATATTTATTTATCAAACATAAATTCTTGCCCAGAGAGAAGAAAGTATGAATTTTATTTGTCATCATTTCGCTCTTATCTAAAAGGTCGACATTTACTGCAAAATCAATTTTTTAATTTATGCCGGTTTTGCAGCAAATGGACGATATGTTAAGCTGCAATTTCTTAATAAAATGAAAATCAATCAATTTTTTACATTCATATAACCTCACGTTCGGCATTCCTGCAAAATTAATACGGCTATGCAGGATAACTTTAAGTGGCACAAGGTCAGCCGTTAAAGTAGGAAAGGACCTATCGGAGCCCTTCAATACCGAACGAGGATTCAGACAAGGTGACAGTTTGTCGTGTGATCTTTTTAACATCCTACTGGAAAAGGTCATACGAGACGCAAAGGTGAACAGAAATGGCACTCTGTACACCAAACAACATCAGTTACTCGCCTACGCCGATGACATCGATATAATAGGTCGAACATTGCGAGCGGTAACAGCCACCTTTGAACAAATTGAAAAGGAGTCTGCCAAGGTAGGTCTGGCAGTAAACGGCGAGAAGACCAAGCTGATGGTATCAACGCGCAAGACGTCCAGTAGACTCGGACCAACTGTGGAACTTGAGAACTACAGCTTCGAGGTAGTTAAAGACTTTATATACCTTGGTACCGCCATAAATAAAACGAATAATATCAGTTTTGAAATTCGGAGAAGGATTGTGATGGCCAACAGATGCTACTATGGTCTAAGTAAGCAGTTTAGAAACAAGGCCACCCCTCGCCAGACCAAACTCACACTTTACAAGACGCTGATACTACCCGTGCTATTATATGGATCAGAAGCATGGGTACTTGCGCAAGCAGATGAGGCAGCGCTTGGGGTGTTTGAGAGAAAAATTCTCCGAAAGATCTACGGGCCGATCTGCGTCGACGGTGAATATCGGCGTCGAATGAAGCACGAGCTCTACAATTTATACGCGGACATCGACATAGTCAGTCGTATTGAGCTGCAGCGACTACGGTGGCTAGGCCATGTTGTGCGGATGAATGAAGATGCCCCAGCTCAAAAGGCATATAAAAATGAGCCTACTGATGGTTCCCGTAGAAGGGGAAGGCCACGAATTAGATGGAAGGACCAAGTAGAAAACAACATCTTGGAACGTGGTCTTCCAAATTGGTGGACTTGCGCACAAGACCGAAGCGCTTGGAAATCTTTTTTAAGCTCGGCTTATGGAACAACCGTTCTGTAA